TGAGTGTGTGTGTGTGTGTGTGTGTGTGTGTGTGTGTGTGTGTGTGTGTTGTAGTCTGAGCTTCTCTGTGCTTTCTCTACCTAGCAGGGCTAGTTTTAGCGCCAGTCTCTCTGTTGTGCCCCGCCGGCTTACTAAAGGCCGCCGCTCTGCACCGCTTGTGCTGTTAGTCCCGTTAGCTGCTAGCCACAGGCTCAGCCGTCTTCATGTTGACAGACGTGTGGAGGCACTGGATGTGCTCTGAACTCCGAATTGAGCACTTACTGACATTCCCAATTACATCTTAAAGAACTTCCACGGGTGGCCGCTGTTTGTTTCCGCTCAGCTTAAGTCTTTCACCAGAGCCAGGAGGACCACAAGAGACCAGACTCTGACACAGTCATGTGTACAAACCTGTGTGAGTCACACTTTTCCTCCACTCAAAGCTGCACGTGGCAACTCAAACTACCCAAGTTTGAATCAAGATTAAGGAATCTCGTCCGTTGATTTCACTAAACTGCACACAGCGAGTTCTTTGTTTACAAACCCAGCCGAGCTTTCTCTGGATGGTGCACTCGCCGTCTGTGAAGCTCTGTTACATCATCTCCTCTGGTGTGAGACGTGACTGTTACCATCACAAAGTAATATTTTTTGGGATAAAGGTTGACGCGGTCAACTTGTCAATTGCCGTTAAACATTCATATTATATAACATTCTGCTTCATGTGTTCCAGCTGGATCATCTTTTTGTTTTGCGTTTTTTTTATTGTCTCACATGGATCCACATTTCCCTGTTTTGTTGTTGTTTACAAGAACCTACTGCCTTCCGGCCCCTTTCCTCTACCTGTAACTGTTGACGCCCCCTAGTGGTGCAGCGGAGGAACTGCTGGCTTGTAGTATTGCGTTGAAGAAGACAAATACGCTCTACATCAGGAAGGTATTTATGTAGGGATCCATTCCTACACAGTGCTGTGTGTTTTCCTGGGGTCTATTCCATTTGTTTTTTCTTCCTTGCGTGTTTCTTTATTTTTAGGTCATCTTCATACTGTTGGGTTTACACTCCATAAGCAAACGGGACAAGTGACCCTTACTCACAGGATCTTAGCAAGCCATTCAGCAGGCTGGTCACAGGCTTCACCTAGATATTTATACAAGCAGAGATCTGCAGGTTCATTATTAAAGATGAAGAATAGGATGATGGACGTGTTATCCCTAAATATGCTGTCACATTTGTAATTGTATTAACCATTTATAGTGACACACTAACATGTTTGACAAATCTCATGGCGGCAAGAAGATAAGCAAACTCCTCTAATTGGGTACTGTACACTTTAACTGTGTTTTTAACTGTGATGACCATGTTTTCTGTTTATTATTTATGATGAATGAGACTGTACACTACATGGGACCACACATGACTTAAGCTTCTTTCAGGTCAAGTCAAGCAGTGCTGAGGTCTCTGAAATCCCTTGAAGCTGTGCTGTGCTGATCGGAAAGGGAAATGGCCTTAACTGTTTGTTTTTTGTTGAGAATGAAAAAGATTAGCTTGAAGACGTACGATGAATGGTTGACCCACCTCAGGCAGCGGCACAAGAGAGCCGCTTCATATCCGTGGAGAAATCAAACAGATGTTTGGACATCAGTGAGGGACGGGCCATCTCATTCTGACCAAGCTGCTCTGATATTTCATGTCTTTTTTTTTTTTTTTTTTTTTTATATCCTGACTTTGTTCGCCTCAGTGACTCAGATTTCAGCTGATTTGCACCTTGCAAGGTGAAGATGACGTCGGTCTGAGCCAAGTGCAAACAGTCACGACATGTTAAGCGTGAAGTGTGCCAAAAGGCAACTGGCAGCTTCAAATAGCAGCCCCGAAACTATTTTCCACCCGTGAAATTTTCACATCAGCAATTTTTCCCCTCAGTTTTGCAGCCCACATGTTTGATAGGAATAGCTCATCCCAATAATAATGACTGATAACACATGAATAAGTAGACAAAATAACAACTGATAATTTGAGAAAAACTAATAAGCTTGAAATTAAATTCATTTTTCAAAGGGGAAATAACGGAGTTGCAGCCCTGGGACAGTATATGGCCTTATGTAAAAGACATGAAGTAAATATTAAGTTTTAGCATTTCACAAACTGACTTGATTTATTAAGCTCATTTTAAATGATAAATTAAGTCCAGACACTATTACGTTTCCCGTTTATTTGTTTTTTTTAAACTTCAGTGTTGTCCCTGAGCAGAGTCAGCGCTACAGACTAAGTGGCAGCGTCTTGGCTCTCTTGGCATAGACAGAGAAAGTAGAGTTCAGCAGCCCTGTATGACGTATGAGCAGAGAGCTGTGGGCTTCGTTTTAAATGAGACTGTAAATAAACTCCAGATGGGCCTGTTAAGGAGGGTTTTGAGTTTATTTTTCCTTGCGTTCTTTTTTTAATGTGAAAAATATTTGAATTGTGTTTTAGCTGACCTCTGTCTCAGGAGCCAGTCAGCCATCTTGTTGTAACTTGTTTGGAGGGGTGGGTGTGTGTGTGTGTGTTCAATCAATCCATGCCTCACCTCCTGACCTGCCTTCTACTAAACGCCACCAGTTTAATGAACACATTTCCTCATCAGTAATGTTGGACTTCCTGTTGTACAGAGCTGCTGACCAGTTAAACATGTGGAACAGATAAACGTGTACAGAAGAAAATAATAATAAAAACAACTTAAAGTGGATTTTTGTGTTATTCTTAGTTCAGTTTAGTCACACGATGTGGTTACTATTTATTTTATTCATATTGCCTCTGCAGACCAATTAAGCAGTGAAGAACAGTTTGTGGAGAAGACAAGTCTGACTGGTTAACAAAAGCAAAATGCAAGACACTCATTTTACCAAACAAAAGAAAGTTAGATTTACAGCAAATGTTATAGTATAACTATCACATACTATACAATGAACTCTTTTTCGACATGCCATGTTATTTTACGATTACTTTTTTATGACACACAATATGAATTTTTGAACACTTTTTTCAACATGCTATACTATGACTTCAACATGCTATACTATGACTTTTTTCGACATGCTATACTATGACTTTTTTCAACATGCTATACTATGACTTATGACTTTTTTCAACATGCTATACTATATGATGACTTATGACTTATGAGATGACTTATGACTTTTTTCGACATACTATGACTTGACACAATATGAATTTTTGAACACTTTTATACGTTTTTTGCCACTTTTTTCAACATGCTATACTATGACTTTTTTCAACATGCTATACTATGACTTATGACTTTTTTCGACATGCTATACTATGACTTTTTATGACTTTTTTCGACATGCTATACTATGACTTTTTACGACATGCTATACTATGACTTTTTACGACATGCTATATTATGACTTTTTACGACATGCTATACTATGACTTTTTTCAACATGCTATACTATGACGTATGACTTTTTTCGACATGCTATACTATGACGTATGACTTTTTTCGACATGCTATACTATGACTTTTTTCGACATGCTATACTATGACTTTTTTCAACATGCTATACTATGACTTTTTACGACATGCTATACTATGACTTTTTTCGACATGCTATACTATGACTTTTTATGACTTTTTTCAACATGCTATACTATGACTTTTTATGACTTTTTTCAACCTGCTATACTATAGTCATAGTATAGCAGGTTGCAAATGATGCCATTTTACCATGATTTGTTGATCTTCACATTTTTATGGCATACTATACATTTTTTACAACACTACTATGACTTTTTTATGGCATAATAGTATTGCAATTTTAGGACATACTGTACTTTTACTTCTGTCATGGAATTTTATGCTTCGACACTTTTAAGACATTTTTTATGACATGAATGGTAATGGGGTTTTTTCATGACATATATTATGATTTGTTCAAGATTTGTTATTAAACCAAAGCATTTTTTCATGGCATACTTAACTATGTGACAGACATTTTTATGGCCATTTCATGGCATCTCCTCAGCTTTCCTACACAGGTTTTGATAATGAATCTAGTGGTCGGTCATCATGTCATATTATCATACATTACCTTTCTCCAGCTTTCTTCACCCCTCTGTCTCTCTCTCTGTCCACACAACAGTCAAGATAGTTTGTTAAACTATTCACGCTCTTCACATATGCATGTTCATACTTGAACAGCATTGGCTCTACATGATTACATTTGAGATATCTGTAGGTGTTGTGACCCTGTTGCCTATCAAAAAAAGGCCACCACGGTTGCTGATTGCTTTGTTTAGATGTGTGAAAGAAATGACGAAATGTCCACTTTCCAAGATAAAGGCAAATGATTACTTTCAATCACAGCGTTTCTAAAAGCAAACAGAGTTGAGCCACTTTCTCTGTCATAAGTCGTATTTCCTAAATCATAGACAAAAGGAATCATAACATTCATCTTTCATTGTCGCACAGTCAAAAACTGACTGCTTCTGCCCAGTCAGCAACACCTGTATCATGCAACCCTCCTGATTGCATTAACCTCTTGCCTAATTGACAGCGGCACTACGCCCCCACGTGGTGGGAGGTTTAGCAAAACAAAACCATCACAAAACGGCTCTTACGTGAGGTGAATGTAGGCTGTTGCACTTCATGATCCTTCTTTATTTACCCCCTCTGCTGCCATCCCTCCATCTCATCACTGGTCTCCTTTTCTTTTGCCTGATCACAACAAAGTGTGCATAAGAATCAGCAGAAACGTCCACAGGCTACCGCTACGGAACCAGCTGCATTGTTGTTCATGTCTTCAGCTTACCTTCTTATGGTGGTTTTAGACTGTATTCCAAAGAGAATGTTGACGTCACTGTCAAAGTGCGCTGGAGAGTTTGACAGACAGCTGGGAGCTTGCTTGAGTCTGCATGGAGACATGTAGCTGAGGACAATGATACGTTCTCCCCACTGGGTGGCGCTCCAAGCTAATATTTCGTACTATGCAAAGGGGAGTAAAAGAAACACCACGCTAAGAGGTTCCTGGTTTTTATAAATGACAAATAATACATGCTGTCCGTAGATTTCTCATTTTATCACATTTTGAAAAAAATCATGTTGAGAGGATTCTTTGATCCATATAAAGCATCAACTCTACTTCTGTGTGCATTAATTACCACATTACCCACAATATAGGTTCCAACACAAATATATTATTCACCGTCTCAATTTACAAACGATTGCCTTTTATGAAATTGTGTGTGTTCATACTGTATCTCTACTCAGTTCCACACAAATACTTAGAAAAGAAAGCACATACAACGTATTCATTAAGAACATTGTTTTATTCAACAGTGGATCTTCAGTAATAAATAAATGCACAGATTCATTCCACAATAAAATTGAGGGAAAGTTGTTTTTTTTGTAGAAATTTCCAAGTCGAGGATTGATATTGCCAAGATGGGTAAACAGCATTGACCAGATGGAGAGAGAGTCTAGACAGATGGACTAACACAGAGAGGCAGACAGGCTGACAGACAGACAGACAGTTACCACAGAGATGTGTACAAAGTATTGCGTTTTTCACTGATTGCCTCTCTTTTCTCTCTCTCTCTCTCTGTCTCTCTAGATGGACAAAATGTCTTTATGCCAAGTCTAGTCAGTCTACCATCACCATGATGTGCAAATCAATCATAAATTATAAATACAGTATTGCATCACTTCAAAGTGCTACAGAGAAAGGTGCCGACAATCTTCAAAAACAGAAAAAAGGTTTGTTTCCTGTGTAGGTGTGTGTGTGTGTGTGTGTGTGTGTGTGTGTGTGTGTGTGTGTGTGTAGGTGTGCTTGTGTTTCTGTCGAGCGTACGTACATCAAGACCCGGGTATAAAAGCAACCATGGTTGAAATTTGTGCCTTTGGATGTCTAGCACAGAGTGTACATCTTAGCCTGGTCAAAAGCATAAGCGATACAAACACTGTCTTAGATTGTGACGTTATAAAAATTGCGACATGGTATTTGTGTGTTACGACCTAAAGAGTCACTGATATCGCTGTTGTCCTTGAGTGGATTGTAAGTACAGTATTGCAAGACTTCAAAGTGCCACGGAGAGCTAAACTTCAAAACCAAAGTATCAACTAAATTATAAGGAGGAAAAACCTATTCTTGGATTATGGTCCCAAAGCCCAAAGCCAGCTTCTCCTTTTTTTGTCTCCTTCACTCCTTTTTCTTCCAGTTTGGATTTAAAAAGTGAAATCAATAAGTGATTTGTGTTGTTTTTTTAAATCTTAACCTGGATTCCCCTCACAAGGAACAACACAGAGGGTCCCTGATGTTTTATAAGCAGAGTGTGAAACACCCATGTTTGAATGTCCTGTCATTAAAATCCAGCCACAATGATATATCGAGAAAAAAATATTGCCTGTGAAATTTCTCCAAATTTGCTCATATTTAAGATGTGAAGGCATACTTCACAAATGCATTTTGTGTCTAATTAGCCATAATAAGTGTCTATTCTTGGTTTGGAAAATGTGTGTTTGTAGCTTGGGGAACCCCATTAACATACTGCTTTAAATATATTTATATATATATTGTTTTTAGTTTTGTCTGCCTGAACAATTGTTATTTCAAAAGGTCAAATTCACTGTCAGTGTAATGCCTAATATGGATGTACTCAAATACAGTACTAGTTGTTTCTGTGTGTTTGTATCCATCTGTGAGCGTAAGAGATGCTCTGTTGTGGAATAAGAGTCTGTACTACGATGCTGAAATGCTGAGATTTCTCTAAACATTCAGCGATCGGCTTTCTAGCAGCCCGTGTAAATCCATGGGATAGCTTTATGAACAAGGCACGAACATCTTAAAAAGGACCACTCGCTGGTGATGCACATTTTAGACCATCAACTAAAAACAAAAGAAACTAAAGAAAAAAGATAAATGTCCAAAGCATCCCTAAGCAGCCAAAGTTTTCAGTTGACTTGCTATGAAAATATATATATAAAAAATAAAAACGTACAGAAAATAATTGAAACCAATGTCTTCAAAGTTATGTATGTTATGGAAAATGGTTAAAAGTAAAGATAAATGATTTAAAATGCGTTAAACATACAAAGCCACGAGGGTGGTCCTTTAAGTGGCTGCCTTCCAGAGCCATGCTCCAAAACGTCCCCTCCGATCTTAAAGGAAAATCATGCTCAACCTTTTAGCAAAAACAAAATGTTGTGACAATGTCATTCTCTTACAGCTTTTTCTTTCGGCCCTTTCGTACAAGAACAACTTTTTTTGTGATGTAGCTGAAGGGGTTTCCTACAGTGTGTATCAGGGGCCTGTCGTGGGGTATCCCAGTTCATTTACAAGGGCCCTGGCCTTTTTATTTGGCAACTTATTCTATGTGTTTAGCCTCTCTCCGGTGAGGAGATGAGGAGCAGAGGAGAGGGGCCAGACGGGGTGAAGATGAGAGGCAGAGAGGAGAGGAGGAGGAGGAGGAGGGAAGGAATATAAAAGGATGAAAAGGAGATGAGAGGAGAGGAAGGTGTGGGGGAGAGACAGAGAGAGGAAGAGGACGTGTGAAAGACAGGAAGCTCCGGTCAGAGCACCTGTCACGGAAGAGGCTCCTGCTTTCTATCACCGTCTCCTCCCCTCTTTTTTTCCATCCATCTCCTTTGTCCGGCAACAGGAGGGACACCCAGAGGGGAAGGAGCGGGTGCTTAAAATTCCTCCTTCCTTCCTGTGTCCATCTCCTCTCCTAAAGACCTGTTGTCTCCATAGCAACAGGCCCTGTCTTCATACTGAGCTTATTCAGTTGGTAGTCATGAATGTGTGTGTGTGTGTGTGTGTGTGAGTGAGTGAGGCAGAGAGAGCGTGTTTGCTGCTGCTCAGGCCTCTCTGTGTCAGCGTTTGACCTGTGCATGTTGTTGTTGTTGTTGTTGTTTCTCGGGAGAAACCACTCCGTCCGAACTCGTTTGCTGGAACAAGTTTTGAAAGCCAGTTCATTTTTTGGTCAATCTGAAGAACTCTTGTGTTAAAATGGAAGGAGCATTGGCTGGGCTCTGGACATTAAAAAAAAATATTTTTTTGTCAGTATTTGAGTTTTGAATCAGGCACCGTGATGCTTCTCACCTCCCCGCCCTGGAAGCATGTACATACTGCAGCGGGCAGTAAAGGATTGACAGCTCTTCCAGCCAATGGCAGCCCGGTCTGTTCTGAGTTAGTTATTTTGGGGGGAAAGGCTGCGACTGGCTGTCCATCAGCAGCCGGGGGAGGTCGTGATCGGGCTGTGGTGCAGGTAGGCGGAGTTCACCACAGAAACTGGGAAGTTGAAAACGAACGGCGAGGTGGGCGTGGCCGCCGTCGCCGTGGCGGTCGTCGCCGACTTGGGTGCGAGCAGCGGGCTCGCTGTGGCGGCCGCCTCGGCGGCGCAAGAGGTGGCGAGGAGCTGGGACTCGAACTGCAGCAGCTGGCCCATGAAGCTGAAGTTGGGTGAGATGATGCTGCGACGCCGCCGCACAAACTCGAAGGCTTCCTCCAGACGCACCTGCTTCCTCTTCATCAGGTAGGCCAGGCAGATGGTGGCGGAGCGGGAGATGCCTGCTTGACAATGGACCAGTACTCGCCCACTGGAGTCCCGCACTGAATCTGATGAGAAGGGGGGAGGGGGGGGTCAGAGGTTAGACCTTTCCATGGATAATAAAGATAATATCACTATTCGATAGATTGCCATGGATTTGGTACCCCAGTGACTATGGTGATCCCTGAGTCTGACTTATCCAAACAAATGACATTCCCATCAGCCTCAGCTTATCACGCTAAACTATGCTGGTGAACATGGAAAACATGATGAATTCATGGTGTGAGTATATTGGCATGTCAGTGCTGTGCCTAAGCTTAGATCAGTGCTGTGCCTAAGCTTAGCCTTGCTAAGCCGCTAGCATGGCTGTAGACTCTTAGACTTGTTTTCATTATGGTGCAGTGCTGTGCTTGAGGTTGGCCTTGCAGAGCTGCTGGCATGGCTGCAGCCTCTTAAACTTGTTTTTGTTTTGATTGGTATGAGGCTTTTTTTCATTGTGGTTTGCTGCAAGCTCAGTTTTCCGTTATTGACAATGACAATGTTTTCCGAGTTTATTTCATCTTCAAGCAAAAAAAGGCCCCATTTGAACTTGGTGGCACCAAAATATAGGCAAATAACACTGACACAGCTCAAAATGTAAATCTCAGTTCACATTAAATGCATGCATTACATGCACCAGTGCCTCTTGTGTGCAAAAAAATTAAAATAATCCTAGGCTGAACCTCATGTTGAGCCTTTTCTTTGTATTTTTGAGAAAAAAACAGTGCTCTCTGAACAGATGAAGAATGCAATTTTATGTCAACTGTTTTCTATCATCATTTCGTGTGGACACCTTGAACCGTAACAAACAAAATGGCACCCTAAATTCTTTACATCCACCAAGTATTTAAAACTCAGATGCACAGCTTTGCCTCAAACTGTTTTCATTTCTTCTCCGCTACACTCTCATGTCTTCGCCTCTCTGTGCAGCCAAACTAGCGTCAAAGTGAGAAAGCAGCAAGTCATATTTGAACCCAAAACACGCGAGTGCAAAACAATTTGATTCATCAGCCCCTCTCACACTTCCTCCCTGGTCCTATGTATGTCTCCATCTCTTTCACTACGTTTGGCCGCATGCTATTACTTTGTTGCTGTGAATAACCAGATTTAGGTAATAGTTTGATTAAAGCATTTACAGTAACTCAATTTCCCCAACAGCCTCAGTTTGAGTGATTAGTTGGACATGGTCATGTTGTGGAGCGTGTGTGGCGGCATGCAGGACTTTAGAAGCACAGAATATGAAGGAGATAATTCATTTTTCCACCACAACCGACTATGCTGCTGTTTGAATAATAAAATGACTGCTTTGATTCCAGTTCACTCCATAACCTTTGTACTGCCATTTCTCTAAACGCACAGATGCTTGATTTATAACAAACCCCCCCCCCCCCCCCCATCTCTCAATCTTGGTGTCTCGTACTTTTCGGCTGTCGAAATTCTTTCTCTCTCTTTCACACACAAAACAGATTTCAGGTAACTCCACCACGGCGTCTGTTCACCCGGTAACAGTGGATGAGTCAGACTCTGGTCCCACAGCAGCTAACTATGACGCATACCAGCACCTACACAAACACACACACACACACACACACACATCAGAGACCTCGCTCACGACCATACACTCCCAGTAAGGAAACCTCACACAAAATGTCTACGCACAGCATGGATATGCAAAGCAAATGCAAATCACACACTTGCCAATATTACATACTTAAACATAAATGAGAAATCCAAAGAAATGACTGATTGGATTTTTTTTTCTTGCTTGTATTACATTGTTTGTTCTGCAAAGCATTCATTTGATTAGATTTTTTTGGGAGGTATTTTCTTTCTTTTTTATGTGTGATGAAGGGCTACTAATAATGAATCATTTTTGAAACAGATCCCAATGAATAAATGTCTGATTTGTCATCCTGTGTGCCTGCTGCTCTATATGCACAGTGTGGCCGGTAAACATTAAAGCTTTTCTGATCACACTCTCCGAAAATGCAACAGAAGAAATATTTAAATAAAGTAAACACATGAACTGCAATTATTAGTCGTTCGAAAGAAAAATAATTTAAGTCATCTTTTAAGCAAATGCGAAATGTTTGATGATTTTGGATTCTCAGATGTTAGAATGTTATTTTTGGCTTAAATGACAGTAAATTGAATATCTTTGGGTTTTAGGCTTTCGGTTGGACAAAAGAAGACGTGAAATATCCTTTTGGGCTCTAGGAAATTGTGGTGGGCATTTTCCCATTTTTCTGCTCATAATCAGCAGAATATTTCGATTTTAATTATGTAAACAATGTCTTTGACATGTTAGATCTACAGGCTTTTTTATGTACTTAAAATGATGCAAAAACGTAAAATCAAACCACATAAAGTACAAAACATGCCTGAGGGGAGCTCGTTTCATTTGTAGTCACCCACCATGGGAAAGCATTTGTTCTGCTAAGACACCACACACACACGTCACACACTTATTAACTAACCTATGAACTCAATGGCCTCCAGGAACCAGCAGCTGATATCTTCTTTATGGTTGTCCTCCACGGGAATACATTTGTACTGGTACGCCCCCTCGAAGTGGTTGGGACAGTCGGCGGACACGTTCAGCAAGGCGGATATTCCTATGCCGTCCAAAACCTCTTTCTTTGAGGCGTGAAGGGCACTACCAAGGTAGAGGAACGGGAGAATCTCAACTGGGCCGCCCTGGACGGAAAAAAAGACAGATGGGAGGATGATGATTCATTTATTATTTCATTAGAAATCAGCAGTGAAGAGACCGATTTTCTGTTCTAAAGGCCGTCTGTTCATAATTCATTCAGTCACTAAGTCTTCACTCCTTACATGAAGAAACATCTCCTGACACAACCTGGAGAGACAATTTACTGAATTCAAAACAGCTGATGTCATGAGACAAAGAATTCACTGTCTCGTTGTGCAGCAGAGGCCAGATGGCAGATGACTCCAGCATAAGTGTGACCTCGCTTGAATATTTTTCTAATCACATTAGGTGCACCTTTCATCTGACAGGGGTTGCTTATTATCTGTGTAATTAATGCAGGGTCATTTGATACGGGCTATTTAGTTTGTTCGTTTCAAGCAGAGTTATTTCTCTATTATAGGAAACACATCTCGCTGTAAGAAGTGAATATCTGATGAACTGACTAATGTTTGCAAGCTCAAACCATAAAACTGAGTGGAAAAATTAGTGGGTTTTTTTTTTTTTACTTATCAGTAAGTACAACAGACCTATCTCGGGGATTTACACTCACCATTTTCTCACGCTTCGTTGAGGACACCTTGTATATATTCTGCAATCACACTTTATCAGTGGAAAACTAAAAATAGACTCCACAGCAACACATCCTCAAAAAGTCTACTCAATGACATGTTTTAAGATATCATTGTCTGAGGATGTGAAGGTGTATTTCCTGGAAAAGGGAGGTATCATTAAAAATGTGAATATGTGTTGAAAATATGAATTATTGGCCATAACATCTAATGCCTAAGCCTACAGTACAACACTGCTATCACCCTTCGTAAGGAACACGAAGCTTACATAATTATAAAGATAAGTTTTATGATTAACTTGTTTGTGCAAGTTGTGTCAAAGAGCAAATGGTTCCACTGAACGCATTACATAATTTTGAAACATTTCCAAAAGTATATTCGAATGTAAGAGTAGACGTTTTGTTTTCCTCTTTCATTGGATCTGAGGGGTCAGCCAGCTGGCAGTCTATACCGGTAGTGAGACTTATTGACTTATTGTCTGTTTATGTCACTGCCGCTGACGACCTCGGTACTGACGCAGCGTCAGGCAATGATCAATACTGCTAAGAGATGTAATGTGAGGAGAGCGGGGGGGGTTGGATAATAAGAGGAAAATAGTGAGATACCCAACAGGAAGCTACAGTATTGGTTCAATACAAATCCCACTTATCAGTACGGCCGAGACTATCAAGCATTTTTCTTAGAAAACGCACAGAGGCTGTATTGTCTGGCGTTTCTCTCCTCATGCGTTCCAGGGGAATTAAAGCCGAACCACATGTGACTGTGTGTGACTCTGTGGGCTCAAACAGCAGATCAGCGACCAACCAAACGACACCACCCGGGTCACAGGAAGTGACGCAGAGGGGAATCAATAATGACCTATGACCTCCAGTGTAGGTCATTAAAAAAAGTGGATTTTTCAGAAAACGTTCACAGCAGTATACATTGCTTTTTTTTTTATGGACTTAAGACTGATGAAACTAAATTAGTAAATATACTTTCACTGCTTTGAATAAAGCAGACTGGATGGGGGAAATGCGGTTGAATGATCGTGGGAAAGTACACAACAGTAATGTTGCAAAGCAAATACCTTCCAGTGTTTGCACACGGCAGCTCTGCGTGTCAATGTGTGCAACTAAAGTAGGAATTTTTACAGGCTGAAAAAAACGAGTTGACTGACAAGAAATAATAAATTCTAATTATTAAAAAGGCGATACGCATTTGTGATTAATTTCTTACATTTATTAATGAAATCTTTAGTTAAAGCCTTAACTGGTTGCCCACACTTAATAGCAGTTTACACATGATCTACATCAGGTGGACACTGGTGAATGATAACTTTGTTATGTAAAGCGTTCTGGCTGAAAAGGCGTGTGAGGTTTTGAGTTTGTCTGTCTCCTGGGGTCTTACCTGGTCGTGGTGAGGTGTCCCGCAAGACGAGCAGGCAGAGTCGATGCTGGACTGGCTGGTGAGGGTCGGTAAGGATTTGGTCTTTATACAAAACTCCGGGTACTCTGAGAAAAACCTGTCGTATCCACCTGCATGGCAAAAGAGACGTAACGATTCAAATACAATGCAAAGCACATCTTAAATGATCACATTGGAAACAATAGGATAGTAAAACACGAGACATTCAATCAATTAATTTAATTAAAATCCTCCAGGATCATGACAGAAATAGGGATTTTTTTTTGTGGGGGACATCAGGACAAAAGGAACATGGCAACCCACATAAACATCACAGCACAATCTGCACCAGGATTTTCGCCTCTACATTGAGTGTGCCTGACGTGAAGTCTATTAAACCGACCCCTGACCTACTCTGTTCTATGTCTACTACTGTGCATTGGAGAACAATTTCATCATCCCTTTGCTGTATTTTTCTACACGTCTGCAGGCTGACCGCTGCTCCCTGCACCTCAGGGATCCCATCAGAATAACTGGGAAATGTCATCCTTATAAACTACACACATACACTCCTGTGCGCTTCAAGGCGTACTACGTCATTAGGATGCACACACAAAAACAGAATGCGCCACAGCTTGCAGCTTGCAGCAGCTTTGCCTTTTCAAATTCCCGGCAGTCTAAATATAGTCTGGTGGGTAAATCGAGCGTTGATTTGAGATCGCACAGCTTCCCGACTGTTTCTGAAAGGATCATGTGTGTCCTGTAAGTCCCTACGGTTAGATGTGGCTTCTACGCATCGGCATTACCTCATTCATCAGCTCACGGCCATTGGTCTGCGTGTGAGTGACTGAGTGAGTGAGTGAGTGTGCGTGTTGTAAAAAAAATTACACCAGGGCATAAAAATAGAGTGGGAACAGTTAGGACATTTCAATGATCTGGTGTATAGGCTATTACAGGTACAAAAACAATATCCACTTATCTTTATGGAGGCAATAAAATAATATTGATTATGTTGGTTGAAAAATGTTACTATAGGCTGGTGACATATCAATTGAAATGAGGCTATTTGTGAAATTTGGAGCAATTATTATTATTGGCTCCCATTTAAAACCTCAATAAGATTAAATAAATGATCATGAAGAGAAATTGAATCTTCCAAATAAGTATTTTATCAAAGTTATTGTCATTTCAAAATATTTGTATTAATACAAAGAAGAAGCTCCATTTGTATTTGGATATAACAGTGTTGGAGATAATAAAAAAAGACACCTATTGTGTTTAAAAATATGTACTTGTTTATGGGCTGTTACTGGCCCCATTAAAAGCTGGATTTAACAATGAGGTATTGTGTTATTACAATATTATAATACATTTTCTTAATATAATTTTGACAGTGCCCTATAATACGGTTGAATCAAAGAATAAACACCACTGCGCACGTTAAACTAAATGTGGATCCGGAAATGTGTTGACCCTAATGCTGCTGGTGAATGTACTCTATTCCCATCGGATGCTGCAGCGGACCCATAAAGGCTGAGTGTCATAATAAAAAAAAATATTTTTAAATATATACATATTTAGGCTACCTTTGAGCAGGTAGATCTGTGTGCCGGAGGAGTCCCTGCACACCGTGTTGAGCACCAGAGTCAGCGTGCTGTCCTCCTTCACTTTCTCGGCGTCCGGCGTCCTCTCGTCGTACAGCACCACTGCGGAGTACATCCCGGACCGGAGGCGGCCGCGGACCTCCTCGTCCCCGGCCAGTATCTGGTCCAGGCTGAGCACGGAGCCCTTGGCTCTGCGGCGGACGATGGTGTTGCAGCCGGCGTTGACGGCGCCGCGTATGTGCCCCGCGTTGAAGGCGAGGAAGGAGCGGCAGTCCAGCAGCAGGCACTTGGTGCTGTCGTCCTTTAAAAACCGCTTCACCACCGGACAGTCCATCTCGCCCAGGTCCTCCATCGCACGTCGTTTTCGGGCTGCGTGTGTTGGCTGCACTGTCGGTTGTCTCCTCCGTCTGTCTCTCTCTCTCTCGCTGTGGGCCCCCACCGCCCTCCAAAAACTTCCGATCCTGCGGTGGATTGCGTTTTTGCGCTCACTCTACACGCGCATTGTAAAAAAAAAAAAAACGCACTACTCTTCACGCTTCAGTCCCGGTCACCTCTTTCGTTCTCCTCGCTCCCTCTCCCGAGTGTTTCTCCTCAGGATTGTTTCTCTTTATTTTTCTTTTTTTGTGTGAATGGGTGCCCCGCGTCACGGCGGAGGTGACGTCAACCGGTAGCAGCCAATCGCAAAGCGTCCAGAGTCCCGTCCCCTTCCCTCCTCTGCCGTTCATTCATAAAACAAAATAGACATCAATGAAACGAGAGGCGATGGGGATGGAGATTGGACTCCATGGGGCGTACAGTGGAGTTTGCCAATAGCTAAGCCTTAACCACCTCGTGACCACATTTTTATATTTTGTTTATGATGAAATAAGGGGGGAAATGGATTCTAAATGAACGGTCCTAAAATCCACTAAATGAAGATGCCCTTATTAAAATATTTTTTTGAAAAAAATGAATAAATGTGAAAAGTTTGGGTGCTTGTACATACATGATATCACTGAGAATTAAAACACAACTCTGCAACTCGGCTATATGGAGCTTTTTAGCCCCTTATCAGTTTTTAGTTTGTTTTAAATTAGTTTTAAGCCAAAAAACATATTTTGTATTCAGTCTCTATCATTTAAACCGTCCTCCATGACCAGCAAAATGAACTGTGATAAACCCACTGCATGCTGCCTGCCTAGCACCAAAAGGCAGACAGAACTTTTGTAAAAAAAAGTATCAGATATTCTTTCTTAGGACTGTCGGAGACAAAAATAAAGCTAAAACAAACTGTGAATATCAGCAACTTTTTAAGATGGCATTAGCAGTGTTTGTCAGTTTGCTTCCGTGTGGCTAAACATCAACTATTGCAGCTTTGAGGTCAGCAATTTGATCAAAATGAAGCTGTAAATTTAACTTTATTTCATTTTTTTTCCATTTAAGGTTCCGAGCTACTTTATTTAGCTGCTATATTGATAAAGTCTGGTGTAATGTGCTGAGAATGTGTTGGACTGTGCTGGACTGCAGGTGGGTGTGCATATGTGCGCACATGAACGTTTTTGTGTGCGTGTATACGTCTGAGTGTGCATCTGTGTGTGTGGGTGTGTAATCCTACGAGCGGAAACACAATTTGCATCTCGTATCAAACAGCCTTAGTGTGCGTGCTCAGGTATTTGCATGTTGATCCCATTTCCATGGTTACAAGAGGAAAGAGAGCAGCACGGCAACAGATGGGAGGAGGCAGACACCCCGACACAAACAGACACACTACACTCCAGCTGAAAGAGACAGACAAACAGCATTCATAAAAAAAAAAAATCCGATTCTCAGATAGATTTATTGTGAATGGGTGAAAACATGAGTATATGTACATACAGTATATAGCTGTGTTAATTGTGTTTACAGGACTTTACGCTCAACTCATAAAGTGTTGTAAATGTGATGTATTTTTGATGAATATTCCAACAAGATGTAGCTGATGTAATATACTTATATGATCTGACAGCAATGACACTTGTAAGCAGACTATCGGTAACCAAAACTGCTGAAATTCTTGGTAATAATGGCATGGTTCCTGTCTGACATGGCAAGAAAAAGAAAGAGAGACTAGACAGTAAGCAAAAGGAAAACCTCAAAATAGGAAATGTTGCATGCTTATGCACGTAATGCAAATGTGTATGTATTTCCCTGAAAAAGAGAGCAGCCACTTTCTGTATTGTATGAAAGAAATATATATATTTTTGTACAATATAATATGAGACGTTGAGATTTTTGTAGGACACGTATTACCCAGAGTTACTGGCCATGAGAATATTTTGCTTCAACACATTTAGATGCATTGTATGTCCTCAGTTTCAAAGTAGTAAATCAATTCAGTTTTGCACTTTGCAGTTGCAGGAGACTTAAAAAGAAAGCTCTCATATACACAGGCTAGCACGGACCATGACTTGTAAACTGATCTCCATGTGTCAAATCGGTGGAGTGCCCCTTTAACCATGTTGCAGTGTTATCAACTAAAGGATGTAGAACACCGTTGACAAATCACAAGTTCGAGCATTCAAAGATGGGTTACAAAAGGTACAGACCAACATAATAAGGTGAGTTACTTCAATGCTCCTAGACACAGATTCTCCAAATTTTTGGAGCTCTCCTGAATGTCATTTCTTTTGATGGGTTTTTGGTCAGATGCCTTACATAAGGTCTTACAAACAAACACATTTTAAAGTTTTGTTCTATGATATTAAAATATGCCAGTAAATACCCCTTCCGTAACTTAAAAAAGGGCTTATAAGTGGCTAAATGAGACTACAGAACATGATCATGCCGAATGGTCCCCCTTTACAACCTCGTTGTTTATACTCACGCTCATGTGATCGCGGTGTAGTTTGTTTACAGCCCCCACGGTCACCATTTTACCTCCAGGCGATTGCATAAAAAGAAATCATATAAGTGGTGTTCATTTGTAAAGATAATCTTGCACAATGTGTAAGTATCATCAACTTCTGTTTATCACAGATTTCTGCATTAATCTATAATTCAATGGAAAAATCCCTTTGGCTGTTTTTTTTTTTTACAAGGGAACCAGTGCGATGCTATAGCATCTGGGGTTGGCCTACAAAACTACGTCATCCCTGCAGCACTCTAATCTCCCAAGAAATTCCCTCCATGTGGTGCTTTGAACATGATGGTGGAGAGCGCATGTCTCACCCGTTGGTCAATATTCTCTCAGGTATCCTGGGTTGAGATCTGGTGCATGGGACGGCCACAGTTTGATCCACATCATTCTCATCAAACCGTTCAGTGACCCCCC